AGTATAAGAATATAAATCTGGCTACAGTGGAAGTGGTCCAGAATCCCCATTACTTATACTACTTCTGAGGCCAGTGAAGTTGGCTATGGCATTGCAGCCTACCTTTGTCTAACAAATGAAGATAATGGCGTACACTGTGTCTTAGTAATAGCAAAGTCAAGAGTGGCACCCTTGAAGACAATGACAATACCCCGCATGGAGCTAACAGCAGCTACAGTTGCATTTCGCCTGGGTAAGCTATTGACCAAAGAGTTGCAATACAAAATTGAGGATACTTTTTTTTGGACAGACAGTACGTCTGTGCTGAGATATATCTCTTAACAGCGCATCAAGATTCAAAACCTTTGTAGCAAATTGGCTCACCACTATCCATGAAGGTTCTGAGGTCAAGCAGTGGAATTATGTCAACACAAATTTCAACCAAACAGACTGCACATCAAGGGCAATGACCTATGACAAGTTCAAACATGCACAACAGTGGTTTGAAGGACCAGATTTTCTGTGGAGACTAATATTTGAATGGCCCATTTCTCCTGACTTATCTGTCACTGATGAGGACCCAGAGGTCAAGAACTCTGTAAGTTGTCTCGTAACTTGCCAGTCCCAAAATATATTGGACAGACTATTGAATCACTATTCAAGCTGGCTACAGCTCCGAAAGGCAGTTGGTTCAATCATCTTGACTATCAGAGAGCTGAAAAGAAAGATGAAAGAAAGGCAATTGGAGTCAGAAGCAAGGGAGGACAGGTCAAAAGAATTATCCACGGCAAGACCCAAGCTGACAGTTTCAGTATTAAAGGATGCAGAAGTTGCACTTACTTGTTATGTGCATGCAGGGTCAACACTTCATGAAAGAGATAGAGTTTTTGAAAGGAAAAGAAAAACATATTAAGAAAGGAAGAGGGGTTAGTAAATCTAGTCCTTTGTACAAGTTAGATCCCTTCATTGAAGATGGAATCATACAGGTTGGTGGACGTCTTCAAAGAGCCAAGATTCCGCATGATTCAAAACATGAAGTTGTATTGCCTAAAACTTCTCCCTTGTCAAAGCTCCTGATCAAAGATGCTCACACAGATGTAGGTCATATGGGTAAAAATGCTATACGTACCCACTTGAGGCAATGCTATTGGATCTAAGAAGCTGGATCTGTCATCAAAAGTCTTGTTTCCATGTGTGTCGTTTGTAAGAAGTATCAGTCACCAACTGGACAACAGCAGATGGCAGACCTTCCTGATGATCATCTTCAACCTGATAAGCCACCTTTTTCACATGTAGGCATGGACTTTTTTGGACCTTTTCTAGTTAGACAAGGTCGCGCAACTGTGAAAAGGTATGGTGTGGTCTTCTCATGTTTGACCATGCAAGCAGTGCATTTAAAACTAGCTTGTTTTCTTGATACTGACAGTTGTATCAATGCTATATGGAGATTTATATCAAGACGAGGTCAACCAGAAGTGATCAGGTCAGACAATGGGACCAATCTCATAAGCAGTGAATGTGAACTTAAAGAAGAAATCTTGAAGTTGAACCAGTCCAAGTTGCACTCATCACTGCTTGAAAAGGGAATTGATTGGCATTTTAACCCTCCGACAGCATCTCATCATGATGGGAGTTGGGAGCGTATGATCCGTTCAATAAGGAAAGTTCTTAATGCTGTTGTCCAGGAATAAGCCATTAAGCTTGACAATGAAGGTGTGAGTACTCTCTCTTTTGTGAGGTTGAAATTATTCTCAATGGTAGACCTATCACTGATGTACCATAACATCTTCATCAGACCTAAACCCCGACACGCCAAATCATCTTTTGCTTCTGCGTTCGGATCAAAAGATGCCACCAGGAACATTTTGTAAAGACGATGTCTACTCTCGTCGACAATGGAAGCAAGTTCAGTATTTAGCGGATATATTTTGGAAGTGGTGGGTAAAGGAATACCTTACACTGCAGCAAGAAAGACAAAAGTGGGTTACAAAGAAGCCCAATCTAGAAGTTGGAGACATTGTTCTTCTGGCGGACAGTTCTCATAATTCATGGTCACTAGAACGTGTCATTGAGATCATGATGGACAAAAAAGGATCTGTACATATCGTGCGTTTGAGAACAGCTTTTACAGAGTTTGTCCGTCCTATAAACAAATTGTGTGTCATTGTGCATGGATCAAAATGAACACTTCTTCTGAAAGACATCGTGAAAGAATGTGAATATGTTACCTTTAAGGTTTATTTGGGCTTCTTTGAGTGAAGTTGATAACTCTTATAAGGTTTATGTTGTATTTGACCCATGAAGATCCGGGTTAGAATTGGTCTTCAGCAACACATGCTTGCCGTAAGATGCGACTATGCTTGTCGTAAGAGGCGACTAACGGGATCGGATGGTCAGTCTCGCTGACTTGGTTGATGCATGTCATCATATCCCAATTGCATGGATTGATGTTCATGATGTCAATCACTAGATTGCCTGGTCCAGACTCAATTATTTACAGACTGCCATCATACAGCTGGGATACTGCTGAGTGCGGCTTTTAACAATATACAAACAAACAAATTATGTTGTTTTCAGGTCTTTTCGTTATAGAATGTTTAAAATCCAGAGAAGCTTTGACCATTTTGGTACTATGTTTGGTAATTGTTACCCCCTCACTGTACAATTAGGAGACCGGTATGTAATGGTCAAAATGTTTATTTCTATTTTCTATCAATTATGATAGCTTAATTGGTTAAGGAGGTATGAAATCTGGTTTCCACAATTTCCACAAATTATGTATTGCATATAACAACAGTAGTATACAACATTACATAATTGTGATGGTTAGGATGTTTATTTAATTTCCTGGCTTTGAATGTTATTTTACATTTTTGATCATGTGCCAATTTTATATCAACCTTAATAAGAAGGGAGATAAGCACAGATTGGTGTGGTCATATGACCATGTGTTTTAAGCAGCATGCATGAGGAAGTCATGCTAAGAGCCAGTGAGGCACATTTATTCACTCATTTGAAAATTCATCAATAGGAATTTGTTTATGAATGCATCTTCTTAATTTCTACAATACATAGTAACTTAGTTCTTCATAATTGAGGGTTTGTGGTTGATTTAGACTTGGCTCATGGAAATACGCCCTAGACTTCAACGTTGTTCATAAATATTCTCATGGCCTAAAGTTATGAAAGGTATATGAAATATTAAGCTTCCTGTTTATTTAGTGCAGTTAAGGCATTGTCTCTGTACATTTTATTGGACTATGATGTTCTTAGCGCAATTTCTAGGTTTGTGTTGTAATTTACCTTATTGTTAAATGTTCATGCCATTGTAAAGTAAACAAGCCCAACCTAGTATTACTGCTGTATTATGACGTAAATGTGTAACTTTAGGAAATTTAAAAGCTGTATACTAAATGAAATCCTTTCCATCTGTTACATTCAATCTAATGTTTGTACATCAGAAACAAGAATAAGAAAAGAATCAAGAATCAAGATACCAAGTGATACGCAGTGGAAGTCTTAAAAATAACTCAACAAAACATTAAGTTAATGTCTGTTTAATAACTGAAACTCAAATTTACCCCATATTTGTATTAACCCATGATTTCAGAAACAATTTCTAAATTCACTACTTACCACCATTTGTCCTTATTTGACGATGTTTTAGTCCTTATTTGACGATGTTTTAGTCCTTATTTGACAATTCTTTAGTCCTTATTTGACAATGCTTTAGTCCTTATTATCCCCCGCCACGAAGTGGAAGGGGGATATAGGAATGGGGTCCATCTGTCCGTCTGTCCGTCACATTTCGTTTCCGGAGCAGATCTTGAAAACCGTACCATATTTCTTCAGCAAATTTGGCTCATAGATACGTTGAGTGGTGAACTGGTGCCTTTTGATAGTTTGGGATTTTCAAAAAAAATAATTTTCGAGTTTCCATGGCAAAGACTTTGATTTAGACTGAAAATTTCTGTAGTCCTCATTTCTGGAGCAGATCTTGAAAACCGTACCATATTTCTTCACCAAACTTGGCACATAGATAGGTCTAGTGGTGAACTGGTGCCTTTTGATATAGAAATCAGGCCTCTATTACATACCTGCATGGTCTCTCATACTATGACTTGTTGGTGATTAATAATAACTGTTTCTTGTAAAACTACCCTTTGTGTGTTTGTTGACTTTAAGATTCTGTAAGGTAGTGTGTTGCCACTGTTGCAGCATTAAACAGAATAGACCCTGGGCCTCTTAATACATGCCATACATCTATATATAGACACCTGGTCCACTGCCTTTGGTGAAATAAATAGACGCCTCAGCCCTGGGCATTTATTTGAGGAAATATGGTAGACATTGGCTATTAAAGCACACAAAGCTGGTTAACTGGTTGGTTAACATAAAAGATTTTGTGCTCTTGATTGGACAGGATGAAGAGTCAATGAAGTTGAGTTCTGTGATTTACAATAGTACAAAAGCTTGGTCTACCTTACAAAAAGATTTATTATGATGGCCAACACAGCTTCCTCAAATTGGATCAAAAGAAACAAATTTCTCAGGATTTTTCTAATCAAGGAATACATTTATGTAGGGAGGCCCTCTGCCAGGTTGATTGTACACAATTGTTTATTTGGTTACATACTTATTTGAATAATATTGCTTTTTTTATAAATAGTCAGCCCACCAGTACTATATTTCCCAAACCCTTTGCCTGAGAGTTAATGTTTCCATTTGTTTTAGCCTATGGAATGAATTTATTTTGAATTTATTTTGTGTAGTTCAAACACAACACTGAGAAGTAAGCCTTTTTGCCCATTGGAAAGGCTGTGATGAAAATATCATATTGCATCCTGTGGTTATAAACTAAATCATATGAACACATATTCATATAATCTAAAAATCACTCAGATACTATTTCCATAGCATATCTTGTAAAGATATATGAAGACGACAGTATATATGCCTAATTGGGCAAAATGGGTAAGAAAGGGCGAAGAAGAGTTTGCCTTACCTTTGTCATCTTTCAGTTTAGTGATCTTATGGAAGTACTTCGTGAGATGCTAGAACAAATTGATCGTCAGAGGAGGAATAAGATGAAGATGGAAACTGTGACTCTCACTGTGCCAGTTAGGTAAGTACTACTTGTAAACAATGGAAGTCTCAAGTTAACATTGTTTATATATAGTCAGTATTGTTCCTCCCACTACATAAATTATTCACTTAAATATCAGCCCTTTCAGTCGTTACTATGAAAGGTACTTATAGTTTGACACTTTGTCCTTCGTCTTGCTATCAGCACCATGATATGACAGATTTGTTCATGGTGTTAGAAAGGGAAAACGTGGCCAAGTCATATAAGGCAGGGCAATTTCCTGTACAGAATTGCATCCTGGAGGTGTGCCAGTATCCTATGCTCATAGCTTTAAATCACAGATGTAGCCTAATTATGATTCTTGGCTTATCAACACCATGCTCCTGAGTTGCACCAATGTTGTCACTATCTACGACCTGTGTCACTTCAGGCTCGACTCCCACATTAAGGTGATGCATCATGCTCCTGAGTTGCACCAATGTTGTCACTATCTTCGACCTGTGTCACTTCAGACTCGACTCCCACATTAAGGTGACACACCATGCTCCTGAGTTGCACCAATGTTGTCACTATCTACGACCTGTGTCACTTCAGGCTCGACTCCCACATTAAGGTGACACACCATGCTCCTGAGTTGCACCAATGTTGTCACTATCTACGACCTGTGTCACTTCAGGCTCGACTCCCACATTAAGGTGACACACCATGCTCCTGAGTTGCACCAATGTTGTCACTATCTACGACCTGTGTCACTTCACGCTCGACTCCCACATTAAGGTGACACACCATGCTCCTGAGTTGCACCAATGTTGTCACTATCTTCTTCGACCTGTGTCACTTCAGGCTCGACTCCCACATTAAGGTGACACACCATGCTCCTGAGTTGCACCAATGTTGTCACTATCTACGACCTGTGTCACTTCAGGCTCGACTCCCACATTAAGGTGACACACCATGCTCCTGAGTTGCACCAATGTTGTCACTATCTTCTTCGACCTGTGTCACTTCAGGCTCGACTCCCACATTAAGGTGACACACCATGCTCCTGAGTTGCACCAATGTTGTCACTATCTACGACCTGTGTCACTTCAGGCTCGACTCCCACATTAAGGTGACACACCATGCTCCTGAGTTGCACCAATGTTGTCCCTAACTACGACCTGTGTCACTTCAGGCTCGACTCCCACATTAAGGTGACACACCATGCTCCTGAGTTGCACCAATGTTGTCACTATCTTCGACCTGTGTCACTTCAGGCTCGACTCCCACATTAAGGTGACACACCATGCTCCTGAGTTGCACCAATGTTGTCACTATCTTCTTCGACCTGTGTCACTTCAGACTCCACTCCCACTTAAAGGGGACACACCATGCTCCTGAGTTGCACCAATGTTGTCACTATCTACGACCTGTGTCACTTCAGGCTCAACTCCCACATTAAGGTGACACACCATGCTCCTGAGTTGCACCAATGTTGTCACTATCTTCGACCTGTGTCACTTCACGCTCGACTCCCACATTAAGGTGACACACCATGCTCCTGAGTTGCACCAATGTTGTCACTATCTACGACCTGTGTCACTTAAGAATCGACTCCCACTTAAAGGTGACACACCATGCTCCTGAGTTGCACCAATGTTGTCACTATCTACGACCTGTGTCACTTCAGGCTCAACTCCCACATTAAGGTGACACACCATGCTCCTGAGTTGCACCAATGTTGTCACTATCTACGACCTGTGTCACTTAAGACTCGACTCCCACTTAAAGGTGACACACCATGCTCCTGAGTTGCACCAATGTTGTCACTATCTACGACCTGTGTCACTTCAGACTCGACTCCCACATTAAGGTGACACACCATGCTCCTGAGTTGCACCAATGTTGTCACTATCTACGACCTGTGTCACTTCAGGCTCGACTCCCACATTAAGGTGACACACCATGCTCCTGAGTTGCACCAATGTTGTCCCTAACTACGACCTGTGTCACTTCAGGCTCGACTCCCACATTAAGGTGACACCATGCTCCTGAGTTGCACCAATGTTGTCACTATCTTCGACCTGTGTCACTTCAGGCTCGACTCCCACATTAAGGTGACACACCATGCTCCTGAGTTGCACCAACGTTGTCACTATCTACGACCTGTGTCACTTCAGGCTCGACTCCCACATTAAGGTGACACACCATGCTCCTGAGTTGCACCAACGTTGTCACTATCTACGACCTGTGTCACTTCAGGCTCGACTCCCACATTAAGGTGACACACCATGCTCCTGAGTTGCACCAATGTTGTCACTATCTACGACCTGTGTCACTTCACGCTCGACTCCCACATTAAGGTGACACACCATGCTCCTGAGTTGCACCAATGTTGTCACTATCTTCTTCGACCTGTGTCACTTCAGGCTCGACTCCCACATTAAGGTGACACACCATGCTCCTGAGTTGCACCAATGTTGTCACTATCTACGACCTGTGTCACTTCAGGCTCGACTCCCACATTAAGGTGACACACCATGCTCCTGAGTTGCACCAATGTTGTCACTATCTTCTTCGACCTGTGTCACTTCAGGCTCGACTCCCACATTAAGGTGACACACCATGCTCCTGAGTTGCACCAATGTTGTCACTATCTACGACCTGTGTCACTTCAGGCTCGACTCCCACATTAAGGTGACACACCATGCTCCTGAGTTGCACCAATGTTGTCCCTAACTACGACCTGTGTCACTTCAGGCTCGACTCCCACATTAAGGTGACACACCATGCTCCTGAGTTGCACCAATGTTGTCACTATCTTCGACCTGTGTCACTTCAGGCTCGACTCCCACATTAAGGTGACACACCATGCTCCTGAGTTGCACCAATGTTGTCACTATCTTCTTCGACCTGTGTCACTTCAGACTCGACTCCCACTTAAAGGGGACACACCATGCTCCTGAGTTGCACCAATGTTGTCACTATCTACGACCTGTGTCACTTCAGGCTCAACTCCCACATTAAGGTGACACACCATGCTCCTGAGTTGCACCAATGTTGTCACTATCTTCGACCTGTGTCACTTCACGCTCGACTCCCACATTAAGGTGACACACCATGCTCCTGAGTTGCACCAATGTTGTCACTATCTACGACCTGTGTCACTTAAGAATCGACTCCCACTTAAAGGTGACACACCATGCTCCTGAGTTGCACCAATGTTGTCACTATCTACGACCTGTGTCACTTCAGGCTCAACTCCCACATTAAGGTGACACACCATGCTCCTGAGTTGCACCAATGTTGTCACTATCTACGACCTGTGTCACTTCAGACTCGACTCCCACTTAAAGGTGACACACCATGCTCCTGAGTTGCACCAATGTCGTCACTATCTACGACCTGTGTCACTTCAGACTCGACTCCCACATTAAGGTGACACACCATGCTCCTGAGTTGCACCAATGTTGTCACTATCTACGACCTGTGTCACTTCAGGCTCGACTCCCACATTAAGGTGACACACCATGCTCCTGAGTTGCACCAATGTTGTCCCTATCTACGACCTGTGTCACTTCAGGCTCGACTCCCACATTAAGGTGACACCATGCTCCTGAGTTGCACCAATGTTGTCACTATCTTCGACCTGTGTCACTTCAGGCTCGACTCCACATTAAGGTGACACACCATGCTCCTGAGTTGCACCAATGTTGTCACTATCTTCTTCGACCTGTGTCACTTCAGACTCGACTCCCACTTAAAGGGGACACACCATGCTCCTGAGTTGCACCAATGTTGTCACTATCTTCGACCTGTGTCACTTCAGGCTCGACTCCCACATTAAGGTGACACACCATGCTCCTGAGTTGCACCAATGTTGTCACTATCTACGACCTGTGTCACTTCAGACTCGACTCGCACTTAAAGGTGACACACCATCCTCCTGAGTTGCACCAATGTTGTCACTATCTACGACCTGTGTCACTTCAGGCTCGACTCCCACATTAAGGTGACACACCATGCTCCTGAATTGCACCAATGTTGTCACTATCTACGACCTGTGTCACTTCAGGCTCGACTCCCACATTAAGGTGACACACCATGCTCCTGAGTTGGACCAATGTTGTCACTATCTACGACCTGTGTCACTTCAGGCTCGACTCCCGAGATTGGGGGGCATACAGGTTGCCATCAACCAACAAGACTAACAGCTGTACCTGCCTGACGGTGTTCATGTGTCACCATCCGGCCTCAACATGTTAATACAAAATATTTGCAGCTCCTTGGCTGCAGTATGCTTATTAGGTAACATTTTCTGTAGGATAACATAGTGAGCGTACATAAGTGTAAATGGTTGTGGGTGTGGGGTAGCACCTTGATGCTTGTGGCAGGGTACTAGTGGACTACAAGTTAAGTTTGGCAACTTGGGATACATCCCAAATTATAAATTATATGGGATAGGGTTGCCTGCTTTACAGCATGAACCAATGTTATACATTCTGCTTTATGCTAGTGTCCGCTTTATAGCAGATGGTCAGCTTGGCAACAATAGTTGACAGCGCTCATTATTTGGCAATAGTACTTAACTGCCAGCACTAGCTGCAGAGCAGCATGGGTTGCTTAACAACGGTAAATGCAGGGCAGCGGTTGTTGTATTGGTAAGCAACATGGGCTGCTTGGCAATGCTTGTTGCAGGGCAGTGGCTGCTGCATTGGGGTCGCTTAGCAGGGGTTAAGCTCATACTCTGCAGTCCACTAGTACATCCTCACCATCCATGTTGTGGAATGGGGGTGGTTTGGGATTTTGTATGGAGGCAGATATTTGTTCAGCTACAGCTGAAAAACCAGATATCTTTTAGTCAATACTATGAAATTAAGACTTATGTATTTTTTGTGTGAGACAGTTTCTTTTTTTCCCACTGTTTTAAGCATTTATATGTTTTCTAAGCATTTCCTGGGACAGTTAAATTTCTTTTGTGATAAACTTCCAACCATAGAAAGGAATAGAATATTGTGTTTTTTAACACATATTGTGAACATCTAGCAAGCCCAATTATAGACACAGGGCTTAAATGTGTCAAAAATACTGATTATGAATGTTTTCTGGACATACTTTTTCTAATATTTGACATGAGCAAGTCTCTGACCCATGCCAATTTTCTTAATCCCCTGAAAGGATGTGCTCATAGTTACCCTGTAAATTTTCTCTGTTCAAACTTTTTCACACATTTATTTATTCTTCTGTATTCATTCCATAAGTCAAAAACATGCTTGTGGTACAAAGAAAAGAGGTAATTGTCAGTCATATGAACATTACAAAAAAATTGATAAAAACATTTCAAAGTCTTCTGTAATTTTTAAATGTGACATTTCTGGTGTGTCCAAAATACCCTCATCATAACTTTTCACATTTGTTTGCAGAGGTTCTTTGAAAATGCAAGGGGAGGATGGTTCAGGAGATGAAGGCATAACTTTGCAGGTTGTGATTAATGAAAAATCAACTTCCGGAAAACATGCATGTGAGTAAATAATAAATACTAACTTTTACTAACCAGTGATGTTTTCCATTTTGTCAGAAATTAGGTTTCCCCCATGAGCCAAGGCAATATCTAACATCATATTAGCAACAGACTTGTTGTGCAAGTGGCAGTGTATATTTATTAAAATGTAGTAAGAAAGATGTTTAGTTATCAATCAAAATTAATGTTCCTGAACTTTAATTTAGGATTAATTAGGACAATACCTAGAGCTGCAATGGACCAGTCCTGCTTGGAGTGCTCTACCCAGAGGGGTGTATGTGATCACAGTTTATGTGCAGATATCAAACAGTAGTTATCATTGTTAATAATTCTAAGAATGCTACCTCTATTACATCATAGCCATAAATCCAGTACTTTGGCTGCAGACACACTATTACTAAGTCTTCAGATTTTCAACAAAAGTCCTCTTCACTGTCAACTACACACAATTAGTTGTTCCCCGAATAGCACATGTAGCTCTTCAGCTCTTCCGCGCAAAAAGGCAGGAAAAACGTCACTTCTTTCAAAAACATCTGTCTACTGGAGGCAGATGAATTCGGGAGGTGCATGGGAGTACTTCCTCAAGTAACAGAGGTAGTATTCTTAGAAGTATTAACAATGATATCTATTGTTTGATAATTCTTGCAAATCCTTAACCTCTATTACACCATAGCCAGAATATACTAGAGGGATAAAGAGGGATCTGCCTCTAGTAACTCCCTGTGTAGTTGACAGCAATCCAATACTGTTGTATGAGTTCTTGTATATTGCTAAATTCAACCTTTCAAGAGGTAATTATTCTAGAATCTCTCTTAGAGGACTTGGTATCAGGTATTATGATTATATCAGTCAATATGTGATACCTTCACTTGAAGTACTTTATTATTTGTTGATAATCATGAAATGATGTCTTTAGTTCCATTCTAGCTCATCATTTATGTCTCAGATTCTGAGAGCGACATCACTTCTTGTTTATCAACTTCCGGTTATGATGTCACTTCCGGTTCTAATGACGCCAGTTCCTCTTTTGACTGGTTTTGATGTCATTTATAGAATCTCTGATGTCATGTATGACATCACTTCTGGTTACGAGGTCACTTTCGGTCTACATTCCTTCCGATTATGACGTCACTTCCGGTAGATCTGTTTATCAGCTGTTCTAATACAGGTAGCCCTTGAATCCCTTACGTAACATACTAGTAAGTCAAGGTAAAAGGTATATTCACCTCCACTAGACCACCTACGTGGTCTAGTGGTAGAGCGTCCGCCCGGAGAGCGGAAGGTCCGGGGTTCAATCCCTGCCTGTGTCATACCAAAAACGTTAAATAATGTTACTTGTTGTTACCCTGTCTTGCGCTCGGCATTAAGGGGCTAAAACAAGAACTGGTCGGCTCGGAGTCAGTATACTGTATCTGAGTTGGGTATTCATGTTAATCTGCGACATGGTATCCCGGTGAGCTAGCACTGTAAATCGGCATCCGTCCGGACTAGTACAGGCAGCCACACAAACACACGCACGTACATGCACGTCGCTATATAAGTGCAATAATCTTGGATGCGAGGATAAATCCCATTCCACTGTACCTCAGCTCACCTTCTGTAGCTGCTTATATCAGACAGATCCTCCACACACCATCCCCCCCTTTTTTTTTCTCATAGAAAGGAGGAAAAACTAGGGATGTAAAATCATCTGGGCCGCAACAATAGGTCCCAATGAATGAATCCCTGTCTGTCAAGTTTGGCTGGATATCTCACAAGTAAAAGCTAGTGAAAGTATTGTGTGACCCCCATTGGCATCCTGCTACATCTTGCTCGATGGATACAGATTACCAGGATGCCAAACTTGATGCAAAAGCTTGGATTTCGTGGGCAGAGCTAGAACCATAGTGGAAGGTGTATCTTGTGCTTGCTGATAACTCGTTGCTATGGTTGTCTTAAGCCATCCAGCGACCGAAGATTTAGTTAGTGATAGCTTTATTCGAGTGGGTCTTGCATGAGATAAATAGACGTCTTTGACGTCGGCGATGTGGACCAGTGGCTGTCAGATAGAACTTGAGAGCTCGTATAGGACAAAAGAGGCAATCGGGATGATCCATTGTAGGTGGTAAGGCAGGAATAGTATAATGTCTTTGACCCAAAGGACCAGTAGCAGTGGACTGATTCTTGGCTATAAAGTCCGGGAGAGACCGCAAGGTGATGGAGGTCCAGTTGGGAGCATGAGTGAGGCTGGAATAGTCGAGAGCGAGGAGTTCAGAAACTCTCACTGCAGCAGTCATGGCAAGTAAAAATGCTATACAGGATTTTGTAGAAGGGTAGTGTTTCCAAGAGGTTCGTATGGAGCGGCTAGTAAAGCAGACAGGACAACTAATAAATTCCATTTTGGGAAGATTCGGGGAATATGAATATCCTCTAGGCTGAATGATCGCATGGGTCTGTTAAGTACCGGATGTGTTCTGATCATTAATCCATCAAGCTGGAGAATGGAATGAGGGTGGATCTATCCTTCAATGGTCCCATGTCGGAAGATGTTATCCTGTCGTAGGTGTAAGAAGAAATTCGCAACCATGGGAATCTCCACTGTGACATAGTTAGACCATATCTGTGTCACCACTGGATGAATTTGTTCCATCTGTTGTCATAAAGCTGGGTGGATGACGATCTCCATGATCTTGCGACAGCAATAGAGGCAGCTTGAGAGAACCAGAGGCCTTCATTCTCTGCAAGATACTTTCCAGGCGGTGAGATGGAGGCTGGGAAGATTGGAGTAAAATAGCCTGGAACTGGGCTTTGCAATGTGGAAGAGCGAGTGGCTCATCCATCAAGAGAGATAGTAATCTGGGATACCATGTCCTGCTTGGCCAAGTTGGAGCGATGAGGATGACTGTTCAATCTGTCACTTCCATTTTCTGTATGACCTTGTCTTGGAGAGACCATGGAGGGAAGGCATAGGCAAACCTTCCTGTCCAATTCATGGATAGTGCATCTATCTGGAGAGCTCTTAGATCTGGGACCCGGCTGATGTAAACCGGAAGTTGATGGTTGAGACAGGTCACAAAGAGATCCAGATGCAGGGTGTCCCAAACGGAAGTTATCCAGGAAAAAACGTCTGGGTGAAGAGTCCACTCCGTGGGTACGATCCTCCCTCTCTTGGATAGGCTGTCCACTAGTATGTTCAGTTTGCCTGGAATATGTCTTGCTTCCATCCGGCACCTGAATGAGTCGGCCAAGGCAAATAGCTGAGTAGTTTCCATCATCAGCGAACTGGACTTGGTTCCTCCTTGCTTCTGAATGTAGGCAACCACAGTCTTGTTGTCTGTGGTAATCAGGATGGATGATTTGATGAGGCGATCTTTCCAAGTCTGGAGAGCATAATAGATTGCTTTCATTTCTCTGAATTTTATGTGTAGAGCTCTTTCCGTCTCGGTCCATAAACCCTCAACTTGGAGGTCATCTATGTGTGCTCCCCAACCTGAATCCGACGTGTTTGTGAACAGGTGGTGTTTGGGAGCTGGTAGTGTGAAAGGAATCCCGTCATTACATAATCTCGTCGAGTCCACTAGATTAGATCATGGCTCAGGTGGAGAGGTCTGAGTACCCGTGTATCCTGGGTCTGAGATGGTAGGAAGTTGATCCAATTCTGTAGCGGGCGTAATTGTAATCGTAGAGAGGACAGCGTTCCCATGAGAGACATCAACCATCTGATGGATCTGATTGGTTGTTCTCGGACTGAGTTGATCATGGCTATGGACTTGTTGAACAGATCATCCTGTATGTAGAAGAAATCTGGCCCCTATGTAGACTATGTCTTGTACCGGATAAATCTCTGACTTGGTCGGATGGATGGATAAGGAACCTGAGATAAGTCATGAGTTGAGTTAGGAATGTCACATCCTGATGCAGCTGGGTGTGTTCCTGATTGGTGGCCAGGAAACCGTCTAGGTATCCATGAAGTTGTACCAACTGTAAATGGGCAGGTATCCATGAAGTTGTACCAACTGTAAATGGGCAATGTTGATGACTGGCACCGTTTTTCTGGTGAATAACCAGAGGGGCGACTGATATACCGAACAGTAGGACCCGGAATTCGTACCGACGGTCGTTTACTGCAAAACGGATGTACGTCATGACTTGTAGTAGATTGGCACATGGAGATATGCATCCAGAAGGTCAGCGCTGATGACCCATCTCCTTTTCCGAGTGATGAACGTAGTTTACTGACTGATTCCATATCTTGGAGGCGGGACCAAGTACTTCTTGTTGAGAGTTTTGAGGTCTATAATCATATCATCTCTGTGGAGTTCTTTCTCGGTACTAAAACCCCTGATTTTTGTTGGTATCCCGAAATCTCCGAATGGCCTGTTTGGTGAGGAGGGTCTTGATGGCAAGGTCGGCTGTGTCCAGTTTGGCACCTTTCAGGTAAAACCTGCATCCCTCCGGACGAGATACAAGTCGAGGCTGCTTGAGAAAATGTAGCTTGATGGATAATGTCTAAAATCCAGTGCGTCCAACTTTCAGCTGAGTTCCAAAAAAAGTCTGACGATGGCTTGTCATAACGCCAGGATGCCTGATAGGATTCTTTCCCTGATGGGATATACTTCTTTCGGGGTGGTTCTCGTGCTTGTTTAGGTGGGTACTGTGGTCCATGTGCCTTGACTGCCAGACACTTGTAATCTTTCTGTTGTGTCCTGTCTGACCTCGCCTAGGATCATGCCCAACTTATTGTTAAAGACTGTCTGTGATGTGACTTTCTGCTTGGCATGTTTGGAGTTGTTGGCGTTGAAGCTGGGAGGCAGTCCAGACATGCATAGATAGCATACCCTCCTGCATGCTGACAATCAAAGTTTCTGGCGGGACATCATCAAAAGTTGTTGGTAGAGGTGGCATCACGTGTTGGATCCTGGTGATGAACCAGTTGAGACATGTACCAACATCCATGGAGTTCTTGTTAACCCTAGTTAAGTCCTTAAATCGGCTGGCTGGGAGCGTGAGTTTAGTGTTAGGGTTTTTAACCAGCTTGCTGAACTTGTCATCCAGTGGCTGTGACTCCAGAAATGACGATGCATGCATCTGATATAACTTTTTCCTCATAGTCGAGAGTGGAATCCTATCATCATGACGGTGCTTCTGCATGGTGTCGCTCATTTGGTCTAGGATCCTGGAGGTGTAACTTGGCCACGGTAAAATATGGTGGATGCGGGATGACGAAGACGGAGCATGGCTTCCGGCGTACTCGGGCATCTCTGGAGGAGGTGACTGTTCATTCCGTGGCTGTGTGGTGATATATAGCGTCTATCATGTCTACAAAGGACAACGCTGGTCCATACTCCCGCGCAGGTGATGTGGCTGGTTGATCGGGGGCCTCTCCCGTGCCATGGGCTCATAAGCAGGATCATCATTGTCCGATGGGATCCATGACTCTGGTATAATCTGCCTATGTGATGGCTGAGGGTCTGGTATAATGGGATCCAGACGACAGGATCCTGGTGACGAGAAGGCTGCGCTCTCGCCTCATGCTCCTCTCCAACAGTTGGCTTGTCTAACCGTGCCCGGGGAGCCCGTGCAGGAGTCATGTGGTGACCAGCTTGCTCTAGTGACTGTAGCAGACAATACAGATTGGTCTATGCTGCCCGTGCGGTCTGTGCGGTGCAGTGTAGGGTTTCTTCGACAGCTCGGCTGGTCCGCTCGGGGGCATTCTTGCCACTACCCTGGGCTTGCTGGACTTCGTTGATGGCCTAGGCTTTGATGATTGCTTAACCCCGTCTGGCCTCTTGGCCGGGGAAGACTTCTGAGCCTGCCACTTCTTCAGCTGGTCTACCTCTGAATTGATGGCCGCCAGACGGGTTGATCATGTCTTCGATGGAGGCTTGTTGTTTGGCGAAAAGTCTCTCCAGCATGCTGATTTGAAAACCTGAGGCTCCTGCTGATCGGGGTGTTGAAGGGGTCCAAGGCGTAGATGTCGTCACTGTAGGGTCCGATAAGATCAAATGGATTTTCTTCTTTGCGGCCTCCTTGCGCTTCGCCTTGAGTATGGAGGCGTCTAACTTAATGATGAAGGACTTGGACAGGGGAAAAACCAAGTCACATCTCGCCTCTGCCGAACATGGAGTCTCCCTACACTTTCAACAGAAGTTATGTAGATCTCCAGTTGTCATGAACTGGCCACACTTCTGCCATGTCAGCGGGGAAGAGGAGCATGCCATCGTGAAAAATACACAAAATCAAACCCTAGCATACTCACGTAATCCAGCCAGATCGTAATAATATACTGAACAACAAAAGTTCCTGTGACATTGAATAAGATTTAATGCAAAGTTATGTTTTTTACCAAATTTGAAACCATTTTGGTTTGCAACAGATAAAAGACTCCTGTAAGTGTTCAAATGGTTTAATTTGCCATACTGACTTCAGAAAATGTGTGATTATATAAAAAACATGAACATGCCAAAATGTCAATTTACAAATCAATAGTGTGTGTGTCCACCTCTGGTTGCGATGCAAGCAACACATCTTCGTCTCATGGAATGGACCAGGCGTCGCACAAAGCATGTGGGATATCTGTCCATATCTACTGGAGCATGTTTCGAAGTTCCTGGAGTGTCTGTCGAACATGTGGTTGACGTCGAAGGTGCCGATCCATCTCATCCCACATGTGTTAGATTGGTGAGGGATCAGGGGAGCAAGCTGGCCAGGGGATGACATTCATGTTGTTTTGTTGAAGAGGATCCTGAACAAGTCGAGCAATATGAGGCCTGGCGTTTTCATGTTGAAAGGTAATGCTTGGGCCATGACGACACAAAAACAGTAGAACAACAGGGCCGATGATATCGTCAAGGTAGCGCTGTCCATTGAGATTTCCCTCTACCACTATAAAACGGGTCCTCTGTCTTGCTGTAATCCAAACCCCATACCATAACGCTGCCGCCCCCGAGCCGATCTTCTTCCATGACACAATGATTGACGTAACGTTCACCTCGATGTCAGTATACTCGAATCGCTGTGGCTGAGGTGAAAACGAGACTCGTCAGTGAATAGAACTTGTCCCCACTGCATGGCTGTCCAGCGTAGACGTGCTTGACCGTGGTTTCCTTTCAAAATGTGACGTCTGGTGGGTCTTCTGGCAACAATCGCTGCACATCTGAGGCGATGACATACAGTTTGTGAAGATATTCGTCGAATGCCAGGCATGCTTCTTGCAGTCACTGTTGCTCGCTCGATTCGATTTTATAGGTGTGTTGTTCGAATCCAGTTGTCTTGTCGATTATTGGTTACGCGTCCTTCCAATCCGAGGATGGTCTCTGACTGCATTCGCCTGTTGCCAACGTTGCCATAAACACCAAATGGTGTTTCTGTGGACGTTAAATTGTCTTGCAACATCATGTTGACTCGATCCTGCGTCAAGCTTACCAATGGCCCGCAGACGCTCATTTTCGGACAGGCGTGGCATTTCATAATGTTGAATAATTGCATAATTTTGTTTTTTTGCACGATGCTAAACAATGCATATGGAATCCTGTTAATGCACATGTTTTTATACCCATTCTTGGGTGGTGAAATGCATGGGGCTTGCATAAAAGTCAACTTTTGCATGGAATGCATGCTTTTCTGTAGCAGTTGTGTTTTTGTGACTTGATTCCATACATGTACTACAATTTGAAAACTAAACTTTGCTTGTTTGAAAATACACTAAAATATTGGTGTCACAGGAACTTTTGTTGTTGAATAAAGAAATTAATAAAACAGTGTGACTACCTTATACCAGGTGCTAGATGACAACAAAAAACAGGTGTTGACTCTAGCACAACAGGAAAGAAGTGACATTTTTCCTTCCTTTTTGCACAGAGTTACATGTGCTATTGGGGGAACAACTAGTTGTGTGTAGTTGATAGTGAAGAGCACTTCTGTTGAAAATCTGAAGCTTCAGTAATAGTGTGTCTGCAGCCAAAATACAGGATTTATGGCTATGATGTAATAGAGGTTAAGGATTTGCAGGAATTATTCAGACTTGTAACTTAAAGTTTGCTGACTGTGATCACAGATTATGTTTATTCCCTTAGGCAAGAAACGGCTAGATTGCAGTTTAGCAGATACCTTTCTTGTGTTTTGCTAAGTGGTACGCACAAGCTTTTTCATTTTTAATGATTTCTAAGTTTTTCAGCCACCATTTTAACCATCTCGCTAAATTAACAGGGCATTTATGGGTCTTGCCACCCACACAAGTCATTGTAATAAAAGCTTTCATAGGTAAATATCATTTTCGGTCAACAAAGTTAATAAAAAATTGTGTGTTGAAATGTGGCCCTGATGCTTGTAACTGATGCATGTAACTGATGCACGCCATTTTATGAGAATATCACACAAGAAAAACTGATGATTTTGTGAAGGGAAATGGGCAGGAAACCCTACATATTTTCTTCCAGACCCATTTGGAAGCACCAATAAATTATTAAATAATATGTTTTTCTATTCTAATGTTTTTTCTGAATCTGTATGTTTTAGCTGGAAATGTGTCTGAGATTCTGACATCCAACAGAGACATTGGTGTCACAAACAAGAGAAACCACAGTATTCAGTCACTAGGAATGAGTTTGGTATGTATCTCTTTCACTCAGTTTGTTTGCTCACCAGGACCAAAGGTTCAAGTGAGCTTATGGCATGTCAAGTTATGATGTGGTTTGTCTATCTGTTCCGTCAGTCTCTCATTAGTCCACATGCTAACTTTCAACTTCATCTCCAAATCAGCTGTAACTTTAAGATTTTAGGCACTATAATTGGACAAAGGTTTGTTCATGGTGTTGAAGTAAAAGATTAAGTTGTTTTTTATGGAAATGGAAAAGAAGTCAAATGTTTATATGTTTCCCAAAATATCTTCTTACAAATAATTCTTAATATTTTTCTAAGCTTCAAGAACCTGGAACATTGATATAAAAGATTACATCAGCAGGAAATAATACCCATTAAGTGGAAGGGAAATAGAAAGTTTTACTTATCCTGTGTCACACAATGCATTTTGTTTCTTTTTCTGAACAAAAAGTGAAACTTTGTTCGCAAATGCAACTGTTTGCAACTTGAAACATCTGACCCAAACTCAGCATATCAAAGATGTACACAGCCCAAGCTTTGATGATTGTCTCAGTCGCTGAGTGATCAAGACTTATCATCAAAAAAGAAGTAGAGAATCTAGATTAGCTTTCACACCATGCTACATTTCATCAACTCATTGCGGTGGATCCATTTCTGTCTAGATTGGTTTGCACTTTGTCACCAACATGCTTTTTATGCAAGCTGCATTTCACCAACTCTATCCCAGTGCATCTATATTCTACTTGGACTTGCCTGCCATTTGTGCTTATGTGTTTTTACATCATGCTCCATTTCAACAATAACTGGAGTAGTATAGGTAATGGGGGTTCTGGACCACTTCCACCAGAGCCAGATTCATATACCTTTACCACCTCTACAGAGGGAATTTTTTATGTCAAAATGATGATGTGATTCAACGATTATCATGACATTAAACTAAATTGTAATGAAAATATTCGCTATTATTTTTACTCATACGTATATCATTATTTTGAACGAAGTGATATTCAACATTTTTACTAAGTTTTTCATTCATTTTACTAGGAGACCAGACTATATACTCTTCTTGGTAATTGGAAAGAAACAATTGATGACTGTATTTGGTTGGTTTGACATCACTGATATAATATATACCCTGTGGTAATTCTCTCCATTTGATAATTTTGTCCCTGAGCATAAATGTTTCGATAGCTTTTTCGAGTTCTTCCTTTGTTGGTTTGTAATTCTCCATTATTATATACTTATGTAAGCATTCGTTTAAATGGATGTATGATTTTTTATGCGGTGCGATCTAATGATAGTAAGCAATCTATTTTTAATCTCCAACCAGTTTTTTTGGTTTTGGCACGGAATAATTGACGCGCTTGTTGTCTACCCTGTTCTATGAACTTTTTTTTCTCGTCTTCGCTAATACTACTGGTCTTACGAGAATTAGATCGAATCTCCTGCTTCATTGCGTTGTATTTTGTGAGTTCTGACAACACTAAACGAAACTGCTCCTCGGATATCTTATAATCAGCCATTGCTGTTGAAATATGGTCCTCAATGCTGTTCAACTTTGGCGAGTATCCGAATATTATCATGTTTTAATGCTTTCTTTTGCAACCTACGAGAAATGAATTTTATCGCTATTCCCTCCAGTCCAGAGACTCCGGCCGATACTTCCATACCAAATACGATAGGCTACACCAAGTCCCATGCCAGCTGTTACAAGCGCGGTGTCAACTCAGTCGAGAGCATTCACAGCTCTGCGATACTTTTTATACAATCCAAATCTCAACTCCCTCTCCTTCTCTTTTCAATGTTTTATGTCGCTTATTTGATGTAATTGAAATCCATCAACAGTATCCATTCTTTTCAGATGCTTCATCGAGCGCCGGATATAAACTCATGGTGTATATTATTATATTATATAATAGTCTTTAATTGGTCTTGCTTCAATGTTTTGAGGGGCGGTCGGGTAGCCTAGTGGTTAAAGCGTTCGCTCGTCACGCCGAAGACCCGGGTTGGATTCCAGACATGGGTACAATGTGTGAAGCCCATTTCTGGTGTCACTGCCGGGATATTGCTGGAATATTGCTAAAAGGGGCGTAAAACCATACTCACTCACTCACTCAATGTTTTGAGAGTATACATCAACCTTATTAAATGTGAATTTAATATTTTTGTTTGTGCAATGAAAATACCATCCATGTCAATATATGCAGTTCATCTCGTAGTATCTCAACCCTAACACCTTTACTTTACCACTTTCCACTGGTATATTTAATTGTATCCTTTGCCATGTGCTCGAATGGCAGTTTGTTTACACTACCACTTCCGGTGGTCTCGCTCTCAGTGTATCTCTTAAATTGTTATAATGTTTTTTTATCACTTTTGTAAGGCCAATTTAACCATTGTTCTGTCAAGTCAATTTGGTAACACCACCATTCGACTTCTTATCCATCTGCAATCTTCATCCCTGTCAGCAGAGGGATTCTTTACAGCCTTATGCTTTGAAATGGCTGACAGTACTACCAGATGTCGCGGCAGATCTGCTAGTCTCAACATAAGTACTGCTACATAAGTAACGAGGCGACCCTTGACCCAAACTAAGATGGCTTCCACTGCAGCATGCCCAGAACTAGGAATGCTCCTTATCTCACAATAGCTGACCTTCGACTTCGTCTCGCCAGTCAAGGTGTCAGCGTGCCTGCATCGTGGAACAGACGGCTGCTGTTCCAGCTGTATACTGAAAACAACCGAGGGAATTCCATCTCACATCCCATAACAGAGACGACAAACACCATGGCTTCGGTTTCCGAGTGTCAACAAGACTTGCCAAGCAGCAATCACAACACTAACTTGCCGGGTACCATTACCAGTTCATCAGTCTATCCAACAACTCCCCAGCCTGATGTATTCTAGCTTGACAGATTCAGTCCCTGTGATCCCCTTGGTGGCAGGATTGCAAAAGGAAATTGCTGAACAGGGCTGAGCGCGATGCCTCTTTTAGGCCACCCTACATTGAATACCCTGAGTGGTATCGAAACTTCTCTCCTGACCCCCGCTAGCAACTCAACAGAGGTTCCATCAGACTCCTTACCTCATATCCACACAGTGTCCCCCACCTTAGAAGATCCAGGAAGGTAAATATGTTAATTTGGCTTTGTTGACATTACCTAACCAGGACAGTTTGGATACTAGAGTAAGTGAATTTGAGGGACATGTATACTCACTCAAAGATGACCCCAGGCAGAATAGGACACTGACACTTGGAGAGTTTATCCAGGCATTTGGTATTTACAAAGACATTTATTGTGAGAACAATGATGCCGAAAGGAAACAGCTGGATGGCCACGAGCAGACTGTGATCGAACTTGCTACTTTGTACGGTGGGACATGCTACTACGACTACCACAAACTTTTCGCAGCTTGTGTGGCAGCTTTTGAGGTAAAAAGAGTTGTCATTCGATGGGACATGAGAGACTCAAAACTCTACAGCATGTGTTCCTCAAGGCGCCGTACCAGGACGTGTTCAGTGTGTCAAAGTGTAACCCACGGCACTGACGTCTGCCCGAGTTTAGCTATGGCTTGCCAACCAATTGTCAGGCCTCAAGACAGACATGTTTCATATGACCGACGAAATGTGGACAGTAATGCCACGTACATAGACTCAAGAGGTAGACTTTGTGTTCGACGTGATGGACAAGAGATCTGTAACAACTTTAATGATCTCGGCTGCAGCCGCCAACAGTGTCCTTTCATACATACCTGCCTCATTTGCCATTCAAGAATGCACGGCAAGACACAATGCCAGAAAGCACAGAAGGATTGACTACACTATGCCTTAGACAGAGCAAGTACAAAGCAGACATTGACGTTAACATCTATTAACATTGAGAGATTAAAAGCAGACTTACAATTCCGCCCAGACAAGTGTTTCGTCGATTATCTCATTTCTGGCCTGGAGACAGGATTCAATCCAATGTTAGACTCTGTGCCCAAATCGACAGTGGAATGCCGCAACAACCTTAGTGCCAGGAGAAATCCAGTGGATGTGTCCGCAGCAGTCAGGAAAGAATGTGCCAATCAGTACGTTATCGGGCCTTTCCAGGAGTCCCCCTATGACACATACAGGGTTAGTCCACTTGGACTTGCCGAGGGGAAATATTCTTGGAAGAAACGTTTGATATTGGACTTATCGGCCCCCCATGATGACGATACCGTTCTAAGCATCAACACAACTAATTGACAAGACATCCTGTTCTCTTTCCTACGTAACACTTGATCATGCCATTTCTATCATTATTCAGCTTGGAAGAGGGGCCCTCATGTGTAAGGCAGATATAACTGATGCCTTCAAGCAGATTCCATTAAGCCCCGAATACTGGCTCAAGTGGGAAGGACTGTACTATTTCTACACCCGGCCGTTGCCGATCTAGCCCCAAAATATTTGACACTCTGTCTCAGGCCATTTGTTGGATTCTGAGACACAATCATGACTTCCTTCATGTGCTACACCTGCTGGACGACTTCATAGTCCAGGCCACGACGCTGAATCGACCATGAGCACTATACTGTCTCTCTTCAAGAGACTCAACATTCCACTAGCTCTCCATAAGACACAGGGACCCCTAACAGAGATCGAGTATTTAGGCATCATTCTTGACTCAAATCATATGACTGCTAGGTTACTGCAAGATAAACTGCAACACATAGCAGAGCTCCTTGGAAGATACTCCACAAAGAGAATTTGCACCAAGAGAGAACTTCTCTCCCTGCTCGGACACTTGAACTACGCTTGCAGAGTGATCGTGCCAGGCAGGACGTTTGTCTCCTACTTGATCGAACTTTCCAAAACTGTTGATAAGTTGCATCACCATGTTAGCTTGTCAGGCGATTGTAGAAAAGATTTAGCTATGTGGAACAAGTTCTTGATAGAATGGAATAGTATTTCCCTCTTCCACGACCTCCACATCTCACCTACCCCAGACATTGAGCTGTTCACTGATGTAGCTGCTACAGT